GTAAGAATTATCTTTATTATAGAAGTGGTTTTATTCTTTCTTTGTTGTTATTGATACTGCTTTATAAAGATTCATGCGAAAGCACAGCTTGCAATTTACGTATGTTCGGAGGGCTTTGTTGGAAATCTAAGTCTATCTGTTCTTATGGGGATAAGTGGCTAAAAAGCCTTGTAAAAATATAGCCATACCTGTTGCCGTGAACAATGTTACATAGAATGTAAATTAAATATACTCAGAAAATGAGGATTGCTGACTGATAGCCAATGCTTTTCTTCTCCATTTCCCCCCAAATGATCAAGTGGAAGATTATAAAAAGGAGACATAGTTGAGATCAAAAGACAAAACTAGACATCTTGTGGGGAGTTGTAGAGTGGAGTGAAAGAGTAGAACTAGACCGCAAAACAGAAAAGTTAGAATGTGATGCTGAAGCAGAGAGAGAAATCTGGCAGTATTCTGATTTCCCCTTCCTCAATTTTCCATCCTGTTTATGAAACTAGTTCTATGGCAGGGGTGCAGCAGGAGCTGACACATTTCTCATGCATGTGCACTTTTCTAAAGAAAACTTATGTAGGCAGCAGTCATTGTGCCTGAGCAGATTTAAATGTGCGAATGTATCAAACACTCTTTTTTTTTATAATTTCATAAGCATTATATAAATAAAAACAGGAGCATCCCAATCCATTCTTGCTAGTGGTTAGAATGTTGACAATGGGATAGGGTGGGAGAGACGACCCCAGTACTTCACCCGTGAGCATTCTGAAACAGAGTGAGAGAGCCTCATGATTTATTCAGGTTCATAGAGGAACAGTTGTAGACAATTGTTCAAAAGTTTTATAAAGACAGTTATAAATTTATTCATATCAGGATCATTTATACCTGCATTGTTTAAAAAGATAAAATCTGTCACCTTCTAACAGGCTTGCTTTGAAACAAACACTCAAAAGCAATATTATTTGAAATTGTACTTATATTGTCGATTTCTCAGAAATGTGAAACGGTAATAATCATTTGTACCTGTTAGCCTGCTGGTAACTGGAGGATCTTGAATGTAATGCATTTCATTCTTTGTTCATTATCGTAGAGAAGAGGTAGAAAGAAGTACACCTGTTCTAACATTGTATATATGTTGGTCCCCTTCAACTTCCATTCAGTTTATATTCTTGGGTAAAATGTCCTTTAATTCCTAAGCACAATAGAGTCCTATTAGGTTGTTTATTAGCAATGCCCCTTTCAGTCTGCATTTTGTGTTATGGATCTCACAAAGGATATATATCACTCCTCCTCCTCAACTTTGTGAAACAAAGTAGTTAATAAATAAGCAGAGAAACAATTCTGCATATATACAATCTCAGTTTACAATTCCACACTTATTCATTTTTTAATCACTGATTATTATTCAACAAATATATGGGAGTGGTAACGACTGAGGCCAACTATGAAGTGGGTTCTTTCTCTAAATGGGACAACTAACCTGAAAACCTCACTGACTGCCACTGTTCTTCAATGCAGGCTCAGGTTTGCTAGATACCTTAATTTTCAAAGAAGTCATATTTTTTGTTAGCATTGTTTTACTCTCAGAGTGTAGAGGTACATATCAATCAAGGACCATTACATTTATAAACTTGGATTAAATGATCCTACCAGAATGCCATATCAGGGGAAAAAAATTCTCTATCTATTAAAGAGCACATTATCTTTTGCCCTTGACTCATCCCTTCTCCATCTTTCACTCCCTCCCTTCCTAGATCCTTCCCTCCCAGTTTCTTCCCATACCTTTCCTTCTGCCCTTTTTCATTTTCTCAGCCTAGCACCAATCTTCCTCCTTTTGTTTTCATATATTAAACAAATACTGACTATAGCTCTACTCCATATCTTGTGCTCTATTAGGGTCTTGGTTGTCATATATTTTTTCTCATCAATTCCCTCTTTTCCTGAATCTTCCATCTTTGCCTAATAATTCCTATTTTTCAAAAAAAAATCATGTTTCTCTACATTACCAGATGTTTTTCCATCTTTCGTTTTCCTTTGAACTCTAATTCTCTCTCATCACCAAATTTCTTAATTGCACAATCTATGTTTACTTCTTTTATCTCCATATTTCTCATGCACTAATTTTTTTAAAATAAATTTTATTTTTATATTCCCCATACAATTGCAACCCCCTTATTTTGACCCCAATCCCTCCCCTCCCCACCCCCCACCTCCCATAGAGTGTCTCTAGTTCATAGTTATTTGTTGATTTTGATTTTCACTTTCTTATAGTTATTCATTTTCCTGGTCCATTATTTAAGTTTTCTAGATTCCTGCTATGAGTGAGACCATCCGGTATTTTTCTTTTTCTTTCTGGCTTATTTCACTGAGCATGATCCCTTCCAGCGCCATCCATGTTGCTGGAAATTGCATGTGTTTATCTTTTTTGAATACTGAGTAATATTCCATGGTGAGTGTGTACCACATCTTCTTGATCCAGTCATCTATTTTTGGGCATTTGGGTTGTTTCCAAAGCTGAGCTATCGTAAACAGTGCTGCTATAAACATAGGGGTGCATGTGCTCTTTGGAATTGATGTTTCTGTGTCCTTTGGGTAAATACCTAGGAGTGGAATTGCTGGATCATATGGAAGCTGTATGTTTGGTAGGTCAAGAAATCTCCACACAGCTCTCCATAGTGGTTGGACCAGTTTGCACTCCCACCAACAGTTCAGGAGAGTTCCTTTTTCTCCACATCCTCGCCAACATTTGTTGTTGCTAGTTTTTTTAATATGTGCCATTCTCACTGGTGTAAGATGGTATCTCATGGTAGTTTTGATTTGCATTTCCCTGATTACAAGTGATGTTGAACATTTTTTCATATGCCTGTTGGCCATTCATGCACTAATTTTTTAAAAGAAACAAATCCAGTCTTAGAAAATATTCTCCCAAAGTGTTTGTAACTTTTTTTTCTTTCTAAGCTCTCTGACTTGTATTTTGCATATAACATCTTCACCTTCCCAATTTATTTTGAATCAGTTTCTTGCCTTCAATTTCTGTAACACTCCATTATCCTCCTACGTATGTTAAAATGTAACTTAAAAGTTTGTACAATTTTAGTGACATTTAATATTTTCAATCATAAAGTCAATAAATGTTAAAGTTGAAAACTACATGAAATTTCTTCAACAAAATATTGCAGGGACGACTTAACATCCAGATGCAAAAGAATGAAATTGCACCCCTCCCATATACAGAGATTACATAAAAATTGATAATGGACTTAAATATAAGGTTTATAGCTATAAATTTTTTAGAAGAAAGCAAGATGTGAATTTTCATGAACTTGGATTAGATAATGGTTCCTTGGAAGATGCCCAAAGCAAAAATGATAAAAGAAAAAAGTTGAGAAATTGAATCTGTCCAAAATTAAAAACTTTGTGATTCAAAGGGCACATTGAAAAAAGTGAAAAACCCACAGTAGCCAAGAAAATATTTTCAAATTGTATATCTAATAAGGGATTTGCATCTAGAATATATAAAGAACATTTATAATCAATGAATTTAAATGGGCAAGGAATTTGAATAGATACATTTGCAAAAAAAGATATGCAAATGGCCATTAAACAAATGAAAATAGCCACTATGGAAAATAACATGGAGGTTGTTCAAAACATTAAAGATAGATATTCTTTCAATATTTGATATAGCAATTCAACTCCTTGATCCTAAAAGTGGATAAACACTAATTAAAAAGGGTCATATGCACTCCTATATTCATTGTAGCACTATTTATAATAGCCAGTTTATGGAAACAACCTAAGTGCCCAATAACAATGAGTGGATTACAATGATGTGGTACATATGGATAATGTGGTACTACTTAGCTACACGAAAGGATGAAATCTTGCCATTCATGACAACATGGATAGAACTGGAAAGGATTATGCTAAGTGAAATAAGTCAGGAGGAGAAAGGTACATGCGATGATTTTGTAACAGGGTGGTCCCCAGGAAAGGGGGAGGTTCCAGGTTCCCTGCCCCACCCAAATAGAGGGTGGAGCTGAGCAAAGAGAGAAGAAGCTGCAGAGGAGACTGAGGAAGGAAGGAAGCAGGATGGAGATCCAGAAGGAGACCTGGAGGAGGCACATGGGGCCAAGAGACATGTGAAGAAACTGAGCTTGCCTTTTGGTCGTGGACTGGGTGACACAGATATGGGTAAGACCTGTGGGGAGGTGACAATGACAGCTTTTATCTTGATATTGAGTTTGCTCTTTTCCTTCCGGGCTTGTCTGGTTATTTCTGACCCTTTTCTCTGGGTCCCCACTGGAAGATGCTTTGGACGTGTGGCAGGCTTTAGGGCCTTGCTCTGGGCCAATCCCATTTGGATGGAGTTTTACCCACGAGGGGACGGGTAATTTTGGGTGCTTGATTTAGAAACTATATTCTTTGCCTTTCCTGTATTGTTTCCTAATTGTATTAAAGTTCCTTCCCATTAAAGTCTCATATGTTTTGTGTTGATGTGGCAGATGGCAGAACCCATTTAGAGCAGCAGGTTTTGGGGGGATCTGGGGTGCACCTCTCCCTGCTCTGTAACAATTTCATTCATATATAGAATATTAGGAAACAAAATGAAGGAATTGCTGAAACTAAAACAAAACAACTTCTAGAGACATGACTGAAGAAGTGAGGCTACTAGAAAACTAGAAGTAGAGAGAGTGGGAAGTAAAGAATGAAGCAACCCAATGAATTATGGTAAAGTTAAAAAGGTACTTTGATAGGTAAGACATACATCTGAAGAGATGTGCACCTGTTCCTCTAAATCATACACAGTATTATAAACAAATGTCATCTCAATAATAAAAACATTCACACACACACATAATTTACAAAACAAAACATATTCAACATCAGCTTTAATTGGGAAAAGGCAAATCAAGGCCAAAATGAAATACAACTACACATACATAATAATGGCCAAAATAAAAAAAAAAAAGACAGACAAAAGCAAGTGCTGTAAAAGTTGTGGAGAAAGTACAATCTTTACAACATTGCTAGTGGGATTATAAAATGGTGCAGTCATTTTGGAAAACAGCTTAGTCATTGTTTCAATGTTAAACATAGAATTACCATGTGATCAAAGAATTCCAATCCTAGGTGATAACCAAAAGAACTCAAACCTGTTTACACAAGTGTTCATAACATTATTCTTAAGTAAAAACTAGAAACAACTGAAATGATTAATGGAGAAATAGAATCTTATCTATAGGTAGAAATTTATTGTCAATAAAAAGGAATGAGGTATTGATATATGTTATACCATGGAAGAACCTTGAAAACATTTTGTCAAGTTAAATAAATGAGTCACAAAACTCCACAATGTTGACTTATTCCACTTCTATAGTGTCTAGAAGGATGAATTTATTATTGCTTCACTATGAATAGACTTGAGAATTTAATAGTTTCAAGATGATAGGAAGAGTAAGGAATAGGGAGCCACTGTTCATAGATATGTTTTGAACTGCTGAAATTGCCCTTAATTTCATCAGTGGCGATGATTGTACAACTCTGTAAATACACCCAAAAGTATAGAATCTTACAGTTTAAAAGGATAAATCTGCTGATCTATAAATTGTATTTTAATAGATCTATTAGACAAATACATAAAAATGCCAAAAAAAGGATAAAAGCTACCATGAACTCAAGATCACTCTGAACTTAGAGAAATAGGGAAGATTTTAGAACCACACAGAAGTGCATTCCAACCCTGCCCTTTTCTCTTGCTAATGTAATCTTGGGCTAAATTATCTAACTTTCTCATGTAAATTTTTTAAATATGTAAATGAATGGCTTAATAAAGATGAGATAGTGCTGCAACTCAACTCTGCTCTTGTAGCACAAATCAGCAACAGTCAATAAGTAAATAAATGGATATGGCTGCATTTTAATAGGATTCTTTACAAAATAGGCAATAGGGCACATTTGGTGCTTGGGGCAATTTGTTAAACCCAACTCTAGAGCTTGAAGTCCATCTGCATTTAGACAGAAATCAGGAGGGAAGTTTAGGAGAGTTTATCCCTGTTTTTTCAATGCTCAACCTATAAATTGTGCATATTTTTCTGCTCACATTCTCCCAGTGATAATAGGTCAATACCACAAAAGGTATTTTCTACTTGTAAGAAGGGCTAAGAAATGTCCCTGATAATCACCCACTTTATAGCTTCTTTGGAAGTGGGGATGGATAAGGTAGAATTATTCATGGTCAACACATTTTACAGCATTACTGCAAGCATTAGTAATATTATTCATAAAGCTCCTCGAATCTGAAAGCATTCAATTTACTAGTTTTTATCAATCTGACTATAAAACTTTTTAACTGAAGTTCCAAACTTCTATGATCACTTCTCAGTCTGCATAACAGTGTTTTATTAGTTATTCTATTTCTATAATGTGTTCTATTGCGATTGTCCACACTCTTTCCCTTTCTTTGCATTATTTCTATTTTTCACTCAATTTAAAAAAATTCTCATTTCCAAAATTTACACTCTCTGCTCTCCTGAGTTCAAAACTTTGGAATACTATTTGATTCCCCTTTGGCAGTTATTGACTTCCCATGCATAAATGTTCATTTTTTTAGTGTAGTTTATATGTCTTCCTCTCAGTTCCTGTCTATGACAAAGTACCATGAATAGGATGATTTTAAATAACAGAAATGTATTATCTCATAGTTTTGGAGGTTATAAGTTTGCAATCAATATGTCAGCAGGACCATACTCTCTGAAACCTTTGAATAGCTTCTGTGGTTTGTTGACAATCTTTAGTGCTCCATGGCTTGGAGCTGCAGAACTCCAATCTCTGCCTTCATTGTTACTTGGTTTTCTTTCTTTGTGTCCATGTTCACATTTAAAAGTCATCATTTATATTGGATTAGGGGTCTGCCCTACTCCAATTTGACCTTAATTAATTACATCTGCAGTGACTTTCTAAATAAGATGACATTCTGAAATATTAGGGGTTATAACTTCAAAATCTTTTTTTGAGGAAAAAGATTCAGCCTATAGGACTGTGTCTCAAGCCTTTCACTGGACCTCTATAGCAGTTTTTTCTTCCTCTCTTTTTCCTTTTTTCTTTCAGTAGTCCATTTTTTTCTTGTTTCCATATGCCTTCAGTGAGAAGTCTTTCTAATGTAAAAAGAACAGCATACACGACTTTGAATTAGAAATTGCTACTTAATTCTCTAAATATTAGGTATTTTCTCTGTTAAATAAAAATAATACTATCTCGTTCATTGCAATGTCACGAAGATTCAGTGATGTCATGTATGGAAATATACCTACCATCCATAGAGTCAGATATGTGATTATGATTTCCTTAATAAAATGTGTTTCTGAATTTATAACCCTATTTACACTATTCTCTTTTTCAAAAATGGACTTCTCAAATTTATTTGAATGTCTTGGGGAGATGAGCAATGTCTTTCTCCTAAAATATTAATTTACTTTATGAATTTCTGAAGCCCAGGCACTTGATAATAAGCTACAACACACCACTAAAAAGCTACAACTAATAAGCTACCACACACCACTAAAAAAAAAAAACGAGCTTCAGGAAAGAGGGAAGTAAGAAAATAAGTATATAGGACAACGTTGACTTCATTAGTATTCTCTTTTTAAATGAGTCATAACAACAATATTTAGCTTATATAAGAAATATGTACAGTATTTCAAAGTTGGCTGTTGAAGGTAAAAAATCTGTTTTGTGTTTTAAAGTAAGCAAAAAGTTTCTTTAAATAACAACACGGTAGTGAGGAGTCTCAGCATTTTCTTGTTTTTCACCCAACAACAATCTGCTTTCAGGCATACTCCACACACAATACCAGCACTCATCATTCTTTCCTCTGAAAAATAGCTTGGGGAGTTAAGTAGGGTTAGTCTCATTCCTTTTATCTTCCAATGTATGATAATATGAAATGGAATTATTAAGTTTCAGAGCTGAAAGAAGACGTCGTGATCATTCGTTATCTTCTGGATCATGCTGCTTTTTAGTGTCCCCACTGAGATTACAAACCAGGACTCCTGTAATATACTTCTTTCTCAGATACCCTTACAGTCAACTGCAGAGGAGGAAATCCATGGATGAGCCTTAGGAGTGAGAGCTTTATGTGGAAACCCTTCTACACCAGCACAAATACCCATCTCTAACCTTGCTACTTTTCTTTGCCATAGGAAATGGCATGTATAATAATACAGAATGACAAAAATTTATACTTGTTTATAGAGGAACTGTTCCCTACATGTCTCTTATTTGGGTGACTTTCCATTTTTTGTTGTACTTTGGGGTTTTTTTGGTTTGGCTTTGTTTCTTTTTTCTAATTTGATATGCAGCTTTGTGAACCCATGGAGAAAATTTTAACAGATTTCTTTTTATCTTATGGTTAGAGAATTATGTTGAATTGATAGATGAAGGTAGTGGAAAAGATTGACTTTTTATTTATTTTTTTTTTTTAAAGATTTATTTATTTATTTACACAAGCACTGGGTACAGTCAGAAGTGCGGGAGGGTGAGAGAATTCACCAGAGCCAGAGCGGGGAACAGAACAGCCAGACTGATGAAATACACTGCTGAGGGAGCAGCGGGCGGCAGGAGAGGTCTGCACGCCATGTGGGACCCTCCTCTGGTGGCTGGGGATCGAACCGGCGCTGCAGAGGCTGTGGGCAGGTTCGCAACCCAGCGCTCAACTGCTGCGCCACCAGGGAGGCCCAAGATTGACTTTTTAAAATATACATTAAGGACTGAATCTGTGAAAGGATTTGACCCTAGAAAATTATACATTATTTTTCAAGGGTGCAAAACACCTTTTCAGAAAGGTGAAAGTCAGGAGTGACAGATACAGGGCAGGAACATCAGCCAGTGGCATCAATACCTTTGTCCTTGATCATAAAGTAGCAAGCATAGGGTAAAGACTAAGGAATGCCAAACCCCGACAACTAACTTTACATAACACTAAAGAGAGTGTAAAATAAAGGTCAAATGTTATATCAAAAGAAAAGAATCTCTACAGACTGGTGACTAAGGCAACAAGCATTGAATCTCAGAATAAAAGATCTCTGGAAATATTCCCTTAGCATGCTTAGCAACATGTTCTGCCTTTGTTTTGACTGTTCATTGTTTGTTTTCTCCCTTACCTTTCAAAGAACAGAAGAGCATATGGAGTATGTGGCCTTAAAAAAGAGACTGACAGGAAATGGTGGTGGGATGTAATTACCAGTCAGTGAAAATGCTGACCTGGTACCTTGGTATCAGGAGACAGGCTGAACCATGAGAAACAACCAAAGTCAACTTTACCGTGGCCATACTATGGGGCAGAATAAAAACACTTTTGTGTCCTACAAGATTATTTTTTTCCCTTGTGTAGTATTGAGGAGGCTGAGCATAAGATTAAAAAAATAACAGTAGGGGCCTCCCTGGTGGCACAGGGGTTAGAGTTTCAGCACTATCAAGCTATCGTCAGCCACTGTGACATGAGTTCCATCCCAGGCCAGGGAGCTGATTCCCAAGGCACAACAGACCTCTCCTGTCTCACCTGCTGCTCCCCTCAGCAGTATATTTCAGTAGATCTGCTTGTTCTCCCCACTTTGTCTCTAGTGAATCCTCTCACCCCCTGCACCTCTGGCCTACACCCCAGTTCTTCTATGCATAAATAAAAAAAAAATCTTTAAAATAAAGTAAAATAGCAGTAGGTTGAATGGTTATCAGGTTGAATGGTTATCATTCTTATCAGAGCATCTTTTCTTTGTTCCCTCAGTTGGAATCAAGGCTTCCCCAGCAAACTTAATTTCAGTAAAAAGTTATAGATATGGATGTATAGTTTTAGATGTCCAGAAAAAGATAATGACACCAAGAAACAAAAGGATGAAGGGAACTGAAACACAGGTTGACAGGGAAACTAGGAACAGTTAATTCTGTCCCTTGGGAATACTAAAGCAGGACAGATAAGGTACACAATGATTTTTGGAGCACCTCTCTAGTAAACTGCTTTGGAATCTGTTTTTCTCCCAATTCTTTGACACTAGCTATTTTCTTTATAATAACCTGTGCATTTCAACTAGTCTCAGCCACTGCCACACTGTTTTCCTGAAAAAAAATTTACTCTAATGCTTGAAGATTAATGTGTAATAATAATAAGAACTGCTGATTTGTTATAAACTTGCTATTTGCCAATGACCATCTAAAGTGTTTTACATCATTAATCCATTTAATCCTTGCAACAATCATCTCAAATTGGTAGTTACATTTTACAAATGAGAAATCATGACATAGTTGAAATAACATGCTTAAATCATGTAGCATTAAGTGGCAGAACTGAGATACTAACCCAGGTATACTGGTTTCATACCTTAGCCCATTAGCCCCTATTATTTATAAGCCAAATCTATTTGTATATGAAATTTTCCAGTAAGCAATTTTCTGGTTTTTTTTTTTTTTTTTTTTTTTTTTAATAGAGGCATGTTTTATTTATTTATTTATTTGTTTATTTGTTTGTTTTGTTTATACATGCACTGGGTACAGTCAGAAGCACGGGAGGGTGAGAGAATTCACTAGAGCCAGAGCGGGGAGCAGAGCAGGCAGAAGGACCGAAGTACACTGCTGAGGGGAGCAGCGGGCGGCAGGAGAGGTCTGCGCGCCATGTGGGACCCTCCTCTGGTGGCCGGGGAGCAGCCGGGGATCGAACCGGCGCTGCAGAGGCCGCGGGCAGCGTCGCAACCCAGCGCTCAACCGCTGCGCCACCGGGGAGGCCCAGCAATTTTCTGTTTTGAAATGTTTTTTTTTTTCCTTTTTGGGTCATATTTACTCCTTCTAAAAAAATAGAATGTCATTCTATACTATTTTACACTTTAATATTTGTATCATTCTCAAAAATAAGGTAACCATTGCTCAGTTTCTTCAAGGTTCCAGTAGATTGGTAGCTAGAATTTCTGAACAATCATCAATTTCAATTTAAGAAGGCTTATATTTCTCTCAAATAAAATTTATTAATTTTTATAGCTTAGAGTATTATAAAAAAAAAGGTGTAATGAAATTCAAAGTTAAAGGAGAAGAGATCCTGGTAGCCTAATTTGAGAAGGACATTCACAGGTAACTCTTGAGAGGTGTATTGCCCATAATGGAAAAGAATAGCAAATATTTAATTTCCAGAATTAAAATTTGGGGACTTGAACATTACTAGATTTTTTTTTTTAGCAGAAACAGCTTCCTTACTCAAGTCATATAAAAACAAACTGGACAATATGTAACAAACACCTTTGTTGAGAAGGTGTTAAGTGGCTTCAAAACATTTTCCCATTTCTACGGATATCATATAATATTCTGTTTTATCTTTGGAAAGTGAAACATTTCTCTGAGAAAACCTGACCACTTGATACCCTGTTAAATATTTTTAAAAGCAAATTATTATTTGAAGGAAAAATAAATAACTTTTTGAGCAGGCCAGTAAAGCCACAATCATGGTACGGTTTATGATGACATAAACTTTTCCTAGACACTAAAGCAAGACATTGCTCCTAGCACTCTACCATCTGCTGCAGATATTTTAAAATTCTAAAGCACTAACAATGATGCAATTTGCTACATTTTGAGCTGCATTTTACAACCCTCTCTTTGCTGAATTACTATTGATGACATTAAACCCCTTTACAAATCAAGACAACACATTTGCTTGCTATTGCCACTAAAGAGCTGTCAGCTACTCTTTCTCTGGGTGTATACCTGCCACCTCCTTCATGACCCTGGCCATGTTTAAACCCTTTTAGAAAACAAGATGCAGAATACAACATCATTTCTATGTTACTTATCACTAACAAGAGAAAATGCCCAGGAAGAAGACAATATTAATTCATAGAAGGAATGTACTAAGAAGTAAAATGAGGAACTTACTATCTTTTTTTTTTTTTTATCATCTCAGATAAAAAAGGAGTATGTTTCAGATTTATGGAAACAAAAGACCAGGAGTTCCTAAAAAAAAAAAAAAGTTGTACAACATAGTAGATTTAGGAGCTAAAACATGTTTTTATGAGTGCAGATGTATAACTTGGAGAATTACTCAGAGAAAATAAGTTGCATGAAAGAGGAAAGTATAAAGCCTGCAGATTTAAATGTTTGAAACAGATTTAAAAGTTTCTTTTCTCTCTTGAAAGTTAAGCAAGTAGGATAGCTTCATAGATAAGTAGGTTTCAGCAATGCTGATTTCAAATTGTTTTCAGTCTGTGATAGCATTATTTGGATCTCTGCAAAAATAATCATTTAGAGGGACAGAAAGAATAAAAATCACCAAAAATTACGAAAGAAGTTTCTGCTCAACTCAACACCTGATGGACTGTGGTCAAAAGTTTCAAACTTCAGAAATTATTGGCAGCTGTTACTTTCTAAAAGTAACTAAGATATTCAAACATTTGCCCTGGAAAAATGACACCTGTCAAAAAAAATAACAGGATAAAATATGTCTTCATTCATTTTAAAGGACATATTTTACAAGAGATTTTATCTAACCGAAAACAATCATTTTTGGCTTTCTTGGTTAGTTTCTTAATCTTTTCTTTCTCTGAATTCTAGACTATTTTAAAAATATCTTCATATGTTATATGAAGATTCATTACAAAAATATTTTTACTGTGATTTACCTGTTATAAGGCCTGCATCATCAGCAGTCACAAATTAAGATATTTGTTTATTACAAAGAAAATATATTTGAATTTTGATACTAAAATAATTGACAGATATTTGTACAACTCCTTTCACTTCTGTAAACAAAGCATTATTCATAGAAAAGGTAAGATACATAGAAAAGCAATATTAAAAAATTTAAGTTCCAGGCTAAAACAATAAGCAGTTCATATCATATATATCCCCACTCCCGATGAGCTAATTTGTAAAAATGCAGGAAAGGTAAGTGATTCACAAACAACACTGAAGGCTGAGTCACCACACTTGGATGTGGCAAACTGTCATCTTATTTTTATTACTGAACACTTAGTGAAAGTGAAAGAGTGGCAAGGTTACAAGCAGGTGGCCTGGCAAGATGCGAATGAATCACTTGGAGGAAAAGCACGAACATAGCTTGTCACAGTGTAAGATATTTGAAAAAGAAGAGGCATCCATTATATGATCCCAAACCAACCCTCACTCAGACAAATATCCTTTCCCCAGCAACCTTCTCTCCCATATAGTAACAGTGGAAAGTAATAGCAAAAATACCCACTGTGTATCTGTTAAATGTTAGTTCCTAAGGTAGATACTTCTTATATATGGTAAGCATAAAACAATTCTACAAATTAAATCATTATTTTGCCTCTAATGAAAAAAGTGAATTGCAAACAGGCAAAGGGTTGTCTCTGATTCTCACCCTAAGAAATAACTGAACTGTGAGGCTTACCTTGTACTTGATCTCGGGAATGTTTCATATCAAAGCCCACACTCGACCCATATTCTGTGCTGTTGCATCTTTGGCTGCTTACAAAGTTGTTTCTGGGGAGAGGAGATAAAAAGGAGGGAATCCAAGGATTAAAACTTTAGTCTTGAAAATATTTACTCAACTACTGAGAAAAGTGGGAAATAAGTACAATAGACAATTGAAATATAAATTAAATACATAAAATGACTCACTGAATTAGAAATTTCTATGTCATATTAGAGTTTGTGATAGCACTTATTTTTAATGCATCACTTAAGATACCAGAAGGTCTTAATGAATCAAGAAGTCCCTTCCATCCCTTTTATATCCTCACTTTGTAAATGATAAACCAGGCAGGGAATTTTTTGATCAGTGTCTTGGTTAGAACCAAAATGCACAGCATTGAGGCCAAAAACAGAGTTCGGAGGGAATGAAACAGACAGGCCTTTCCATTGTTCTAGAATTTGTAAGTCTAATTTACTAGCTTTGACCTGCCCCTCCTCAAACTGGAGAAGTCAGTCTCTGACCCCTGAGACTCTTCCTCCTTGGTCCTGATGCCCAGAGGCATTGTTTTTCTTAATGTGTCATATGTGATTCCTTAGTGATAATATCCATGCAATCACCGCAAGTTTCAAATGTGGTTCTGGATATTTTCATCAATATACAATTATAATTTTAAATGTTTCTAAAAGTTTTATTGAGCTATGAATTCAGTTTATAATCAAAGAAAGTCAAATTTGGACTTCAATAAATATTTCAATGACTTGGAAAATTCATGAACTCCCTAGAAACATTAGTATAGAGTGACAATCTGAGGGAGAATCCTACAACCTAATAGAATAAAGGTTTCATAATTATAAACAGAAAGACCCCCCTCAAGGCAGTGCATACTGAAATGAAGTCAACTTTTTACGAAAATAAATGCTTGATAAGCAGGGAAGGGATATTTTATGCTAGACAATCCTTTACTTTTTGTTCTGTTCTGTTTTAACCTGATTTTTCTTTGTAAATACACTACAAATAGTTCATCAAAGAGATTTGTTAATATGCTGCAGATGGTGAGGGGATTGCAGGGTATTTTATTCTCTGTGTCTTGGTCACTTATTTCATTAAAATAGGTCCTAGGCTATATTTAGGACAGGGCATTTTTTTTCTTACTACTTTCCTATTGTCAATGAAAGAAAAAATATAATTTCTCAGAACAAATCATCAGGAACCCAAGACCTTGTTTCTCTCTTTGACTTCCCTTGAAATTGTATTTGACTAAGTAAAAGTTACTTACATTTCAAATAATAAGAATGTTAGAAAGAAGACACTGGTATCTCTGATAGAAAGTGGCATAGAGCTTAATGAATTAATATTTGCAAAATAATTTGAACTTTTTGAAGTTCTAGGTTCTAAATATTAAAATAATATTTTAATATTTTAAATTTTTAGTTTTGTTTAAAAATACTGTTTTTCCCAAAAAATATTAGAAAAAGACATCAGAATAAGCTGAGAAACACATTTCAGCATTGTCAGTAAGGCAGTTTTCTTATGTCTTGCCAATATCTGTGTAGGTCTCCTTCTTAATCATTTTACTTTATTATTTATTCCATATATATTTCCATGAAGAGTTCTTAACTTGATGAAAATCTGATTTCTTGATCCACAATCAAATCTTACTATGGCCAGCTGCTATGTCTTCATAACTGTGAAAATATTACATCTCTTTGCAAGTTGGCTCTAATACAAGGAAGGTTACTAAACTAACCCAATTAAATTGAGCGTATCTGCAAGTTTAGATGATTATTGCTGTTGTCTGTGAGGGCTGGGATCCAAAGTGATGGATTGCTGGCTACCCTAGTGAATTCTAAAGGGGAAAAATATCCCATACTGGATTAGCTTGAATTGGCTTACATAAAGGTTTTATGATGCAAATTGGAGATATTGGACTTAGTAACAACCTACACTATCTGTTATATTCTCCTGTCTCATAGTCACAGGAAGCTTTCTTGAGTATGATGCCCCATCCTCATTAATAAGCTCTGTGTTGTACATCTTTGTCTGATATGAAGCTGCCATACCTTGTCACCAATTATAGACTCTGAAAAGACCCATCTCATTATAGTACTTAAATTGCTTGTTCCTGAAGGTGATGCTTGGTGTGTCTCTTCTGCCTCTTGCCAACAGGAAAATCACCCTTGAAGTGAATAGATGTCAGTCAAAAACTACAAAAGAAAAGCAAAAAGAATTAATAAAAAACCTGGCTAGAATATTTATCAGCTTATTGCACAGAAAAGAGTATAGATCAGACAAATAAATGCAAGGCTAAAAGGAGACACTTTTGAACATTTTTAATCACATGAAACATATCTGTCCATAAATTTGGGACCAAGCAAATATTTTGAATGTGAAACACACAAGGGGACCAGAGTAGATTTTTTGCCATTCTGTCACTGCTGCACTAAGGGAAGGATGCAATATTTGAAAACACTGTTTCTCTATTTTTTTATTGCATCTTAGGGGATAGAAAACTGGCACCATGCAAGGTAATTCTTACCCTTGGATGGCATCATGCTGCATTGTAAACCTGGTCCACAGAAGATTTTCAGTATATTGTGATTGATTGGTATATTGAAATAATAGCTAATTACTAGGTTGACTGGGCAAGAAAGAGTATAGCAGAATAGTCTTCTGCCAAAGGAAAGCTAACACGTTAGGCTTGGGTGTATGCAAAACACATTTGAAATGCATTCACAGAACATTCGTCCCTAGGTACAATAAAATTCTATTTATTCTATTCTACTTTAAAGAAAAAAAATCTTTATAAACCCCTCTTACTAACAATAAACCCCGTTATAAACAATATCAGAAAAAAAAAAGTTTATGCTTTCCTTTTTTGCCTCTTTGCTTCTGGAGTGTATGAGTTTCATAGGTTAAGTCAATAGAGACTATTTTAATGATGAATACTCTCCAAGGGCACTCTAGTTCAAATATCTGCCCCACACCTCCCCAGCTACGGAATGGAATCAGCCAAGGTGAGATGAAAAGGCTCACAGAAATATTCAAAACTAGCCTGTGATTCCTAGTTGAGCCCCTAAAATACAAACATACCCTAGTCCTTTATAATATATTGCATAAGCATTTGTATATTTTGTGGTACCATTCACCATCCTGGGCCTTATTTGGAGAGAAACTATTCAGTATTAATATCATTAGACTTCCCCTGAAAAGAGGGTCAATAAATTATATCTATTCTTAAAGGGACCGCCCCAAATCAACTATACCTCAAAAATGCAGTAAGAACCCAATATTTTCAAATATTATCCATCGTGTGTGAGCATATACACAGACTCACACATACACACGATCTTTCAGAAGAAATAACAGAAAGGGAAAAACTGATGATCGGATCAAAATGAGAGTATATATGTCAAAAAATACTTTGTACAAGACACTTGTACAAGATACTACACATATCTCTAGTTTCACATTTGGTATTACTGCCATCATTTCTCCATGACAATTTGCAATAATAGATGATGTGAATCTAGGAAATGGTGAAAACACTCCACTGTTCATTCGTAAACAAAAGACTAATGGAATTCTGACATCCTCATTGAATTTAAAAGAGCTTTCCATTAATTGATGTTTAGGAGTATTCTGGCCTCCTTTCAGCAGATCTGAAAACCAAGAACATTATTGTTACTATTTTTTTTTCTTTACCATTACTCTACCAAGCTTTTTGTAAACTAAGCCTTTTAAGGTCTTATTACTAACCCTACTTCTCAAAATGAAGCTATAATACATAAAAAACATATTTCAATACATAAATTTATTTCCACTCCCCTATTTGGAAATTTTAAGAAAATCTTAATGAATTTTAAGTCCAGAACATATTCTGGAGTGATGAAAAGTCACATTTCCTCAGGTATCACATAAACATAAAAGTGTAAGAGCTAAATATGATAAATCAAAAAAACTAAACATAACTTATTTTTACTTAGTACAAAATATATGAGCTCTTTCCTTGAAAAAGTTTATCAGATAATGATGCTGGGGCCCACTTTGTAGGGACACAGAACAAGGCTTTCCTCTCGAACTTTTATTTTATCTGTGATGTTAGTAGCAATATGTTTGTCAAGTAAAGATCATTTGAGTCACTACTAATTTATTGTAGTTTTGTTGAGTCACTATTTTATTCTCTATGTAAGCTAATTTTGAAACCCTATGCAAAATGAAATTTGTGGCCTCTTGACTGAAGAAGTACCAACTCAAAAATGCAAACGAGAATGCATTAGACATAATCACTGATTATTTTTTAAAGGAAGTAGAATAATGTGAGGAAACTGACTTTACCTTACTGTCTGTATCTCATGTGTTAGAGTTCATTCCTCAGGAAACAAGATATAAACTTGAGTTTGTAAATAGACAAGCAGTGGTAATCTTTTTCTTATCCTCATATGTATCCTCTAATAATAAACAATGGTTTTGAAGATGAACGTAGAGGCTTTCATTTCATTTGCTTCTCTTTAAACCCACTTACCAATCTCTTTCCCCTTAGGTCTCCACTTTGTCCCGGTCCTCACTGCCTTGCAGACAAACTATTATAGTAACCATTTGTTCTGCAACCATCCCAGGCCGGGTAGCTTCATCATCCGTTTAGGCAGCTTGAAAGAGAACCTTGGAGCCCTTGGCATCATCCCCACAGGTTAGGGGAAAACAAGCCAGCAGGGAGACAGCAACTTAGGGCCCCTGCGAATCCCTACATGCTCTTTCCTCGCTTAGCCATTCCCTGATGCTCCCCAGCCCTTTCTATTGCACTCTGCCCTATAGTCTTCTGCCACGCTGTGCTGCCCGATCCTCTGTGATGGCGCCCTTATAGGCTCAGTCTCTGGCTCAGGTGCGCCCACTCACGCATGCCCACACCACACTCCAGGTGCCGCCATCAGGCATGCGTGTAAGACCACAGATGTCCCTCACTAATGCTAATGGCAGGAGGGAGGAAAAAACGTGATAATTCTCATTTACGCCTCACCTTTTCATTGGCCTTTTATGCTCCATGATGTACCACCTTCCTTCATCCTCACTTTTCAGAAAAGTACACTTCACTGTGGTGAATTTTATTGTCTTCATTATAAAAGCAGCTAATGACCTTTGCAAATCTTAATGAGACAGGCTAATATAAGATGCCTTATACTACAAAATACCTAGCCTCACGTCATTGAGTTTGATTTCATTTTCTTAGCTCTTGAAATCTGAATGAATTAACTTATTTTCAAAATATAGGAATACATTTTTAAATAGCTAGGTGGTTTCACAAATTTTATGAACAATAATTTTTTTTTTTTATTTTCTGGTAACATTGGTTTACAGCTCATTTTAATGCTAATACTCTTTAGGGTTGACATGTTTGGTTGTGTAGTTTGGCATTAAACCGCAATAGGGGGACGCCATTCAGATGGACACAATATTAGAGGCACACCCTAGCTTTTCGCAAGATAAAAATGACACTGTTGTGCACTGTAGTTTTGGTGAGTCTGGACAAGAGATGTTAACTTCAAGACTCCAAAATTTGGGTCCATAATTATCTTTAAGTCATAAGGAGAAACAAATGCCCAATGGTATCGCTTATATGTGGAAAAGAGATGCCAACTGTAGTGCCAGCAATGCACAGAGCAGGTTCTCTATGACTGGGGCAGAAGGGTAGAGTCCTGGAGCCCTAGGTGGCATTTTCAGGCTTTTATTGAGCTTTTTACATCATTTGTAGTGCAGCAACCAGGTAAACAGCAGGTAGGGGACCCAGGGGGCGCCAGGAGGCTAGCAGATCTCCCAACCCTCCGCAAATCTTCACTCTTTCTGGGCTCTCTGGCATTCTCTTGTGGTGTCCCTGCTATCTCTGCTTCTTCTACCATGCCCTCTTCTTTGCTGTTACGGTTCTCCTACTTCTGGTATCCCCGTGATGCTGCCCTTTTATGCCCAGCCTTTCAGCCCAGGGGTGCCCACTTATGCATGCCCACACCCTACTTCAGGTGCCCGCTATCAGGCATGTGCAAGAACAGAGGTGTGGTTCTTCGATGCCAATGGTGGGAGGGCGGAAAAACCTGACAATTTCTATTTACCCTACACCAACCAAAGGGTCAGATAAAGTCAAACTAAAAACTAACCCTAGAAAGCTGAGAATAGAATTGTGACTACGGGAAGGGGAAGTGTGCAAGGGAAGAGAGCAAGCTGGGGCGGGAACCATGGTCGGGACTATGGGTGTCTTCATGCTGGGTCTAGTGTGGTAACAACACTTGAGAGGAAGATCCTGTACTTCTAATATATAAACAAGGGTATAAACCAATGTTACCTCGAAAAAAAGTGCTCCAGGGCCTCCCTGGTGGTGCAGTGGGTTGAACACAGCGCTGTGAAGCTGTCCGCAGCCTCTGCAGCACGGGTTCGATTCCTGGCCGGCCATGGAGATTCCCACATGACGCAGCAGACCTCACCTGTGGCGCCTGCTGCTCCCCTCAGCAGTGCTTTCGGCCAGTCTGCCTGTCCTGCTCTCCACTGTCTCTGGTGAATCCTCTTATTCTCCCGCACCTCTGGCCTGTACCCCAGTGTAAGGGCAGGAATGGACACAGGGCAGGTTTTCTAGGATCCCATGCAGAACGGGTAAAGGAGGAGTCAGAGTCCTCAGTGGTTTTGCAGGTCTTTTATTGGGATTACCAGGTACACGGCAGGCAGGGGTGCCTCCCAGCCCCCAGCAAGACTTCACTCTATCTCTTCGGCCTTCTCTCAGCTTCTACTGGCGTCCTCATGATGCCGTCCTTAAAAGCCCAGTCTTAGCCCAGGTGAATCCCATCTATCTATGCCCACACCCCACTCCAGGTGCCTGCCATCAGGCATGCATTCAGGACCGCAAGGATCCATCATCTATCCTGATGGCGGGAGGGCAGAAAAGCCTGACATTTTTCCTTATCTTACAGTCCACCCCCTCAGGGTTTTCTGCCATACAGTCTATATATATACATTTTTCTTAGCAAATAAACAATGCAGCCATGGCCCACAAAAGCAAATACATCACAATAGAACAAAATAAAACAGAACATAAATAAGTCCAGGCAGGGCCCCAACCTAGTGGCAAAAGACAATTATTGGTACCAGCAGATGAGCCACTAAATCTGCTGCCGAAGGCACTGCTCATACGAGGGAGGGGAACCACTCATGGCATCTACTGTAACAC